GCTATTTTGATAAAAAATTTGGATGAAATTTTTTCTTTTTTTTTTTTTTTTTTTTGATTTTTTAAATTGCGAAATAATTTATTTTTTTTTAACAACGGAGAGGTTCTTTTTTTTTTTTTAAATAAATAAAACTTCATGAGGGAGGTCACCCTCAATGTTTGGTTGCTATTTATCATTCACTTAATGTAAACAGTGCGAGTTGGGCTTTTATTATTTTTTTATTCTCAAGTCTGGTTGATTTTAATCAAATGGTTTATATTATCAGACTTCGTTAGGGGTGGAAAAGGTACGTATTTTTGACATGCTTTATGAACAACCCTTATTTGCTACATCAACGGACACGCGTTTTGAAGAACGTTATTCAAATTATTCAAATCGACAGGACATTGTTGTATAATAATATGATTGATTATTGTAATTTTAGACTTAAACGTAAGCATTGTAAACTATCTGGATGGTACCGTAGCAGTTTACTTTCACTTTATTAACTCTCTTGACAGCCACATATCCTATTCATTTCACGCCAGGTACTATTTATTCATAAAATAATAATGCTATCTCTGTATAGTATAGGAAACAATAAGTAGAAATAGAAAATAGACCAATTATTTTTTTTTAAGTCTGCTATTTTTAACTAGATCAAGATGATAACAAGGAAAAGTTGTGGGGAAAAAAGGCTTTGTACATCAAAAATATATTAATATATTGGCCTTTTCTTGAAGGCTGTCATTACTGTAAAGAATTTATTTTTTTAAAATATATTTTTATTTGGACGCTGGTAGGTTTTGTTGTATTACATAGCTGTTGAATTTGTTTTATCCTGAAGATGGTGACTTTTGCTGTATCCTGTAACTGTATGTGATGAGTTTAGGGCAATCCTCCGAAAACCTGTCCCAAATTCAAAACATTGATGAAATGCATTGAATGAGCAGTTACTCTGGCAGCTCAATCTCAATCAGGTTTTTTCAAGTGCATGGTCAAATATGATAAGTGTCGCTCACCTACTTCAAGTGCTGTCCAAAAATGTGTTCTTTTCGGTAAATTGCCACTGGAGAGCCATCCATAATATTTTTATTTTATATTTACAGGCAATTAGTCTGAAAGACCACACATTTTATTCAGAATCTTAGACGTTAAAAATCTTGCTAATGAAAAGTATACTAATCAATGCATTTTATTAATGTTTGATTTTGGGACCAGCATTCGGAGGATTCCTGAGTTTTTTTTTGTATATAGGATTTGATGAAGTTTGTTGAATTGTGACTAAAAACTGCTCTAATGGGCAGGCCCAGAGGAAAAATTTAACAAAATAAGCATGAGCTTATGTAACCAGGCATAAGACATAAGACAATACTTTCTAACCCATGAGCTCTCACAATGGCTGATGATCGATTGCTGCTTCTATAACTAAAATGGATAATCCATAGTGACCAAAATTAATAATAAAATGTGAATCACAAGTTTTATGTTAATTAATGGGAGAAAACTTTTGAAAACTAATTTTATATCCCTCCTATGGCCTATAGATTTAAAAAAACAAGGCAAAATGTCACATGTTTTTCCTTTTATACGACTGAGACCTAAAAAAACCAAGCAAGATGAAACGCGCTCAATTAAGAGGCTCAGAAAAAACAAAAATTATCAATCAGCAATAAGAGAAGGCTTTTGATATTGTATCCAAAACTGCAAAGGTGACTTTTTTCTTCACTTAAGTTCCACTAAATGAAAATGTTACCGGTACATAATTTTTGTCATCAGAAATGGACTCAGTCACTTTAATCCAATTAAAATCCTCAATGTTGCAAGCTCATTACTACATCTTTGGCTTTAGATTCTCCTCTAGATACCTTGACTGCAAATGTTGATACAAGTGTTTAATAACTAGGAACAAGTTTTGAAGTGTGTCATAGCTGTTAACATTCAAAGCTGAATGTGCCTTGGCTTTTGGAAGAAGGGAAGACAGATTGGAAAATTGCAGAATGGGGACTTTTTAAGGCTGAGTTCATTCCTTAGTTTAAACTATTTTTAGCAGGTCACATGTCCAAGTATGGAATATCTAGCAAAGTAAATCCCTCTTACCTGTCAAAAATGGGGGTTTGTGCTCACATTGTTGTTAAAGTCAAATGTGGTGTACTTAGATACTTAAAAAATGGACAAAATATTGAAAGTTTTTTTTACTATTTTGAGAAATGAAAAGAATTGGGAAGTTTTCTGGGAAGGAAATGGTGAATCTGGTTTTAAATTACTTACGAGAAGATTCTAAGCTTAATTTGTAGAGGTCAGTCCTATGACAATGATGCTAAAATGTCTAGACATTACTAGAAGATGCAGGGAAAAAATGAAACAAACCAATTTGCTATGTATTTGTCTTTTGTAAACCATACACTAAATTTGATAGGATGGACTATTGTTGACTGCAGCCGGTAGCAAATTCTTCAAGTTTTATTGGAAACAAACATGTTTTAAAGTCCCTCTCTGACACTAGATGGACGGCACATATTATGACTACAGCAACAATATTGAAATGATGTACTAAAAATTAACAATAAGGAGATACTAGAAGAGACGCAAATATTATAGCCAACAAGATGCAAGGAATAGAATTTAACATTATGTTGAATATTTGGAATAAGATTTTACAAATTGTTCATTTAATAAGCAAATTTCTACAGAATTAGGATAAAAGCCTAAAACTTGTGCAGATCTCTAGGAATTATTAGGTGATCAACTTTATACGTCATAAGATAACTTTTAAAAAAATGAAGCAACTATTAAAGAAATGCTACCAGATGTGGATTACAAGCTATCTCACAAATATTTACAAAAATTACCCAATGATGATGATAGCCCAGAAGTATACCTAAATGCAATAGACAAATTTTGCATAAATAACTTTTATAAAAACCTGTTACACTACAAACTGAGATGAGAAAAAGAGGAAAGGTATATAACGTAATAACAGAGAGATTACCCCTACTAGATGATGTGCCACATACTATCAGTTTATTATCACTTCAAAGTGACATGTATTTTCAGGGTTATGGAAAAACGTATTAATGCTTACCCAGAGGACTTAAACTTAAACAACAGTTCATTTTCTCATTTAAAGTATTTTTAAAAACTGAACAGATAAACTATGCAACAAATTTGGATGCTTTATCTTTACTGGTTATAGTTATCGAAGTTTTACCCAGAGGACTTAAAAATAACTTAAAACAGCAGTTAATTTTCTCAGTTAAATTATTTTTCTTTAAACTCAACAGAATAACTATGCAACAAGGCAGGTTGGATAATTTAACTTTGCTAGTCATAGAAGCAGATGTGTTAGGAAAATAAGCTTTTTAGATGTGAGAAAGGACTTTGCAATTAGAAAATGTATGAGAAAATCTGTTTTCAATAAATAATGTTAACACATTTTAACATTTTGCACTATCTTAAGTGCATGTTCTGTTTATCTCAATAAACTTTATTTTACGGTTAATGTTCCTTGATATTTTAATTTACATTTAATAAGTGGACACCAAAATTGTCAAGTGCTCTGCTAATGGGTTATAAACAAATATAACAAATGCTAAACATTGAGCTTTTTGTGCGATGTCAGTGGATCATTCAGCTTAATGGCTAACACATTGACATATATTTAACTGACCATCATGAGAAGTAGCCTGATCCTATTTTCTTAAAGATACTTATGTTTAAATTTAAGAAAACTTGAAACTTTTTTTCTCTTAATTTAATCCTTAATTTTTAGCCTTTTGACTGTAATGCTTTCACTTTCAGTAGAACAAGTTGACATATGCAAAAGATAGATATTTAAAGATTTAAATGTCCACCAGCAATTTGGTAAAGGTCTGAAACAAAATAACATATCATAGAGCTGTTTAAGTGACGTGCTAGATTCATGGCACCATTATGGTTCCATAAAGTGAAGATGCATGCAGAAGTGACCAAAATTGACCATAGGCTGTTATAATTTAAGAAATTTTTCTCAAACAAAAATACTTCATGTATTAATTTGTTCTCTTCAAGTCACTTTATCTTAGGACACTAATGTCTCTCCGTAGGTATTGTGTATATCAGTATAAAACAAAATGTTGTTGTTTTTTTACATGCTCTTTAACTTTATTTATGTCAGATTAACTTCATGTTGACTTGTATTTTATGAATACCATCATTGATATCTCTTTTTCTTCTTCTTTATACCATCTTTGGTAACTATTCATATGGTATATTTTTTATCCTAAATATTTCTTCAGTCACTTGTAAGTGTATATTTTTTATAATTGATATCTTTGGAATACTTATATCTTCAAATTATTGCATGTTAAATGCTTACATCAACCGTCTCTGAAATCTCCACAGTCATTTGATCAACACCTTTGCCAGCAAACAAAATAAAGCATTTCCACGCAGCCTATCATGAGTTCTGACCCAAAAGACAGTTGCTCATATTACTTGAACCTTGGGGGCTTCCTAACTGAGTCCCTTATCAGCCCCATGTGGTATCTGGACATGTTCGGTTTCACATCACACGTCAGATTCAGGGACAGTGATGGTTCATGCCTCAAGATGTTCTTGAACTTATCATTCATGAACTGGTCAAAGCTTGACTCATCTGGGAGCTTCACCTTGCGTCTTGCAATTACTATCCTAGATATCCAGGGCAAGGCACAGGACCGTTTAGTGGGAGAGAAGATCTACAAATATGATGGGAATAAAAAGGTTATTGACGAATGGTCGAAAGATCTTTTTACTGTGAGATTAAAGCCAAAAGAAATGAAAGACCATGGGTTTTCGGCCGCAGACTTTCACACTTTGGTAATCAAATTCGATGCAGCAATAATATATTAATTTTTTTTTCCCTTATTGTTTTAGTGACATAATTAGTCACCAAAGAATGGTAACTGATCTTTAAGCATGTGTTTTCAAGAACATTCCATTATAAATTATAATAATTAAAAAATTATTGAGTGAATTTTGTCTATCATTTCTTAAATACTTTTAATGAGCCTACCTAAATGATCACCATTAAAGTCATTATTGTCATTAAGTGCTGATTTCTATGCTGGAGTAATACTTTAGATGTCATGTGTTTAAATTGTTCTAATTGTAAAATGTTGTTTTTGTTAAGAATATCTATTTATTTATGTGCTGAAAATGAATCTGTGCAGTGTAATCAAAAAACATTTTCCATTTATTTGGATCAATAAATAATCTTAACAATTAAGTTGAGTGTTGTTTGTTTTCATGTTTTTGACAGTACGACTCCTTTTAGCCATGGAGTGTAATTATGGTTGGCCTACAGTTCAATCTGTAAAATTTATTTGATCCTACATTAACCGAGGAAAGATTATATTTCTAGATCAACTGGCTCTGTTAACTTAAGCACATAGTTCATGCTTCCTCATCTCTGTGGGAGTCAGTTAGCAAATGGTCCTGTAACATTCTGACTAATAATAATTTTTTTCTGAGTTTTAAATACCAATTTTCCCCTGAACTTTATTAGCTTTTTTTTAATGTCAGTGCAGTGGGTAAAAAACTGTTTAAAAGATTTGATGGCTATTATCTGTGTTTTAATTTTAAAGTTTTTCATGAAATATATGGGAATATTGAATGTGTGGCATTAAAAACCATAGAATTTATACTTACAAATGAAACAAAATATATTCTGTTTCTTTTTGCATAATGTAATAAAATCAATGTTCAGATATTCAAGAAATATAGTTTTTATTAAAATTCTGATATGAAATTTGTTTTTTGTGACATAAAAATCAAAATGTAAGTAGCCGAAGTCTCTCTGTTTTTAATGTGCTTAGCTTTTTTTTTTTTTAATGAATCTAAAAGGGAATGTGCAACTGAATTTTTATATTCAAATCAATTGAACATTTTATAGTTTTTACAATTTGTAATATGATAAACAAAAAAAAAGAGTAATAATTCACAGATAAATATTTAAAACAATTTTACAAGCTTTATGAAATAAAATGTTTTCTCATCAGGCAAAACAAATGCTTTATATAAATCATAATCAGTTCTATATATACAATTTAATGACTATTCGGTCGATGTATTACAGTTTTCAATTGGGACGGATTCTCAACAAACATAAATAGTTGAAACTCACACACAAACAAAGTTTTCATTTTTTTTAAACCATTAAGTATAAATGAATGCTGCATACATGTAGGATCACATCTAAGAACAAATAATGAAATATTAATGGTTATTATTTCCCAAGAGTCTATCAAAGGTCAATGGCCTGTAAGGGCATTTTTTCAACAGAGGTGATGGAAACCACTTTTTTTTTTTTAAATAACCATATATAGTGGAGCTTTGTTACTTTGTAAGTAAAGTTATGTGACTGCCCCATCAATGTTGAGCCAAAAAATGACTACGTTTTCTAGACACAAGACACTAATGGAAGCCTGTAAAATTGTAAACTTTAAGTGTGTCTGTATGTTTATATATTTGTATTTTTCGAGGATTGTACTTTTTCACTTGCTATGCTGCAAGTAAATATAGTTTTTATTACTGTATATTTAATTTTGAATTTTTTTATGTTAATTCCGATAGTTAAATTAAATTAAATATTGTCAATACCACTAGCTTTGGCCTAATTGTTTTTTTTGTTTTTTTTCTGTGCTTGTTTCTGTTATTTGTTATGTATTGTTCAACAATTGACTACTGAAGAGCCAAATCTTAAAACAGATTTAATTTGCACAACCATAGAATTAGAATAGTACGTAACAATGAAAAGTGTCAGTTCACACGATCAAATTTTCTATCATGCATTTGATGTGATTTTTTAATGAAGCCTTGTCACAACTTTCAAATTGCTATAGGCCTAGAATTTGATCGAAATTTATATGTTTGTCTTAATAAAAAAAAAAAGAAACCACGCACAAAATAGTGCGTTCATACAAAAATTTGACACAAAATTTGAAACTAATTTGATCGTGTGAAAGTGTGAACTGACGCTAAGTGAAGAGCAGAGCTTTTGAAAGGAAAAATCTCCTGTTCAAAAACTACACGAACAATTTCATTTAGAAACAATGTTAGTAGAACTTCATTCTGTCAGCAACAAGATATTTGCAAATAAAAGGAGAAAGATGTCATGGATTTGATGGTCTTTTTATATGGTATTTTTTGGTTAAATTGACAATAATAGGTAATCTAATTAGCTGATGGGGGGGGGGAGAGAAAATAAGGTACATTTTTTATTTTCAGTTGTCTTGCTATTTGAACAAAAAAACAGTGATGAGAGCGTGAGGCTGACTCATTGAGCCACTCTGTCACTTTAAACAAAGCACAGCTCAAGACAAGCCTAAATCTCAAGGTGAAGCCGTGGTCAAAAACTTGAGAAAGACGAACTTTAATATAAATGTAATGTGTGTGTATATATATATATATATATATATATATATATATATATATATATATATTCAGCAACACAGGCATCCGCCCATATCTAAAGAAAGTCTTTTCCCCCTCACGCTCTCTCAGAATAATTCACCTGTCAATAGGATAGAGTGGATATTATAGCCTTAAACTTAGAAATGTAATAAATATCTGTATTTATATCCTGACCCTGATTTTTTTACACTATGGACTATGGGTAAGGCTATCCTATGAATAAAATGTAAGATAAATGTGTAGTTAATTTTAAAGTCATGGATGTAGCAAGGGTTCAGTCTCACCCTAAGTGCAGTGTCAGTGATAACTTTGCGATTTTTCACAGAGTATTGAAAAAAAAGACGCACGCATGATTGAAAGCCCTGGTTTTAGTAGTTGAAAACGAAGTACCAGTATGCCACTCAATTATATAATTATAATGTCGCAATTTAACTGAAAGTTTCAACATAATTTTCTAAGGAAGGGCCCTCCCCCCGCTTTTAAGTCAAAAATTAGAAAATGAGAACAATAAACTTTAAAAAAAATAGTACTATGGTCGATAGTTGACCTGGGGAACATGTATGACCTATATAATATACAGTGGAGTAATCGCAGGCCCTGCCGCTAACTGCATTTTATTCCTAATCTAATGTAAAATGGAAAAAGTTAATGGAAAAGACAATCAGTGGTGATCAGCCTTCCCTCTTTTTTTTGTGTGTGTGTTCCAGAACATTCTAGACCGCATGCCCGGCATTTATCAGGGTAAATCTAGTGGAAGATGGAGCTGCATATAAGTTGAAATTGACAACCTCCAACCTGATGCATGAGAGCCATCCCAATGGACAAGAGGTATTAAAAACAATTTTTTTTTTACAGGCATACACGGTTGGATCCATTTATTTTGCCAAAATTAACATAAGACATAAGTCACAATTATGGTACATTTTACAACTGCACAGTTTGTCGTAAGTGTGCTAACTTGTATACTAGTGTTCAGTTAGATCTACCATTTTGATTTTAGTCGGTTTCAATTGCCTGATAATTTCACATTGATATGCTTTAAATTTCATTTTATTTAACTTCTATATTTCTAATATTTCTTAATTGAATTTTGTTCTCTTTTTCAAGTGGTCCACTTAGGATTTTCCATTTATCTCTGAGGTCAAATGTATTATGAGGAAAGGTATTATTACCACATGCTTCAAATTTGCAAGGTTGTTTCTATTATATTCTGTACGTAATGATTGATTTTTTTATTACATGTCTCATAAACAAAATTCAGAAGTATTTATGGTCTTATTATTTTTATTAGGCTCGAGGCTTGTGGGTTGTTGGGAAAATGCATTAATTTATTTTCTATCAATTATGTCCATGTTCTTAAATTTTTTTTTTTAAATTAACGAGTGGAATGTGTTCATGATGTATGCATCCAATGTTGTTCAATTAACCTTTACTTTTTTAATAAGCATTTGTCAGTGTCTTTTTCAGCTTTTATCGATATAGATTAGCATTTTCAGTTTTGTTTTCTGAAGTCAATTGATGAATCAGGAGGAATAGTTTTGGAACTACATAATTGAAGCTTTGCATGCTTTTTTATATTGACATTTTTTACTTAATTATGGATTGTTTTTAAACAAATGTCTCATAGGAACATTTTTCGGAATTTTTGTATTTATTTATGTATTAAATTGTATTTATTAGGTTCGTGTGTTAATTTTTTTTTCTGTCTAAGTTTTCCAATTGTTTTTTAATTCATTGAATGGTATATGTACATGGTGTATGCATCCTATATCGTTCATACAGCCTCTAATTATTTTTTTTTTAAATTTTTACTTTTTTTTTCATTTTTCTCAGTTTTGCGTTATCTGGATTTTTAGGAACGCCAAATGAATCAGGAGGAAAAGTATTCTAGCTACACTTACAGCCTTCAAACAATGCATGCTTCTTTTCATTGATATTCTTTAAAAAATTCAAGAGGCTTTTTTATATATATATCCAACTAGAAAAGTTTTATAACATTTTTACATTTGCTACCCTTAACGAGTTCTCAAATATTTATGTGACCCCCACACACATGCCATTTGTAACACTTCCAATAACTGCTATGTAATAAGCTTCTTTAATCTTTTTGTCAATGTTATTCTTAATGTGTATGCCAAGTTTTATTTACAATACAATACAATAAGTTACAATACAATGCAATACAAATTTTTCTTTATTCATTTTGCGTAAAATTCAAAATTGGTATAAAATGTTAAATTTTTTGCAATGAAAGTCACAACATATTTTTAAAAATAAACTTAAGTTGTTTTTTGTCTTTCTGTTTGTGTATGGTTTGTATGTACTTTTTTTTTTTTGAATTAAGAAACATACAAGAAAAATTCTGCTTCGGTTCATTTTTGTTTGTAATAAATTTGTATTTACATTCTTGTGACAACACCTAAAAAAGATTGTATTTGTTAATTAATGTTATTTATCTAACTGGTTGTGTGAGCAAGATATTTGAAAATTACAAATAAATTATTTTAGAAGAAAGAGGGTATCAAAACTACACTTATGAATAGTACATAAAATCTAAAAATGCCACCCACAGTCTTATACTTATAACACAGTAAATGGCTCTAGTTATGTTATCAGTATTTTATTTTCAGTGTGGCATGACTTAGTTGCCTTGAAACCAAACTCCCTTCACAGATCACATATATTTGCTCCCACTCAATCATTACGTCAGTTCTTAAAGGAAGAAATGATACAAACAATAGTTAACTGTACGGGTACCAACAAGGAAGGCGAGAAAGTAAAAGGAGACAAATGGCAAAGGAATGATGTGACCTAATTGAATTAGTTTATTGGCTGCCTACTCCATACTGGCCCCTAATTTATTTTATGGATTACTGGAGTACACAACTCAAATAACAAAAATGTTCTCAAGTCAGTTAAGGATTTTTTTTTTCTATTAAATTTTAAATTATATACCAGTGTGTTAGACCCAGTAAACAGGTATGGTTTAAAAAAAAGACTAGTACTCCAAAAATAACTTTCTTTCTCATGCTTTATACAATGGCATCCTTTAAGATGTTTATTCCAACTACCTTGTGAATTAGGTCAAGTCAAATATGAGAAAGATTGTTTAAATTAAAGGAGATTCAAGATATCAGGAAAAACAGAAAGTGTCCGCAAGTATGATTCCCAGTGCCAAGGAAAACGTTTAAAATTGGAGGTTTGTTCTGACTAAGCCAAGCTCTCTAGAGGAATATTCCAAATTAATTCATTATGAATGAAATTTTCATTATTTAGAATACCTAATTTAATAATTAATTAATAAAGTACTGTGTGATTAAATCTTTTACTTTTAACTTAAACAATACAAATAAATAATCTTAAATAAAGGATTTAATTTTAATAATTAAATTAATATTATAACTTTTCTAAAATTCAAATGAAAACAATAAATATATCTAAATCATCTTGATAGCTAGATTTAAAAAAAAAAAAAAATGATCTACAAAAATTGTTTAAACTAAAACATAAAATAAAAAGAAAAAAAAACTACATATAATAAAAAATATAAAAAAAAAAAAAAAAAAAAAAAAAAAAAAAAAAAAAAAAAAAAAAAAAAAATTAAAAAAAAAAAAAAAAAAAAAAAAAAAAAAAAAAAAAAAGAAAAAAAAAAAAAAAAAAAAAAAAAAAAAAAAAAAAAAAAAAAAACTAACAACTAAAAAGAATAAAACTATGAATCTATGAAATAAGGAGCAAACACACTTTTTAAAAAAAAATTATCATTATCATACTATTGTTGTTATCACACCCGGCTCCGAAGCCATTTAATCTGTATGGAGCCACGCTGGGTCCGAATAGCAGCTTTTTATATAAAAACATAAAATATAAATCACAAAATTAAATGTATTTTTTAATATAAAAATAAAATGTTATGTTCTTTGTTGAAAAATTGATGTTTATTCATAGGAAGACGTGGCGGCGAAGACTGAAGTTCAGATACAAAAGTTCATAAGAATAATTATTAACAGAAATTAAAATAAAAGTTACATTTTATGTTAATATTAATAACTACTTACATTTTTTTTTATTAAGTGTCATTCTGAGCGTTTGGAAATTTACGAATGTCCGAAATAGTAATGAAAAATTTAAACTATAATTTAATTTAAAAATTAAAATTTTAATACAAATCATCGGCGTATGAATACTAATACATTAAAAAAAATAATTCTCTAAAAATAAACAAAGGGAAGTGACTCCCACTGGTAAACACCCAAAAGACGTCGTGGCATCCTATCCTAGGATTAGTCAAAATTTGTTGTTTTAGTTGTTTTTTTTGCATCAATTTAATTTTTGTTAGAAAAATTTGGGGTAAATTAATGCAGATGGAGGCTAAATTTGCCGCCCGTTTTTGGATTCGTCTGGAATGTCAGGGCGAAAAGAGTGTGATAGATTGGGTCATGAGTACTGGTCTCATTGCAGATCGGTACGAATGTCCCGATTGTAAGAAGGGTATGAAATTGTGTACATGGGCAAATGCTTCAGATGGGTTTGTATGGAGATGTCGCGACAGAAGCCATGGCAATATTGTGCGTAGTATACGGAAGGGATCGTGGTTTAGTGACAGTAAAATGACGTTATGTGACATTATGTTATTGACACATTTTTGGATAAGAAAAATGCCCTTGGGAAATATTGCGACAGAAGTAGGTGTTAGTGGGGGTACCGTAACAGACTGGGTCAGCTTTTGTCGCGAGGTCTGCGTGGAAGCGTGTGTTGTGACGAGTGAGAGTTTAGGTGGAGTGGGGAAAATTGTGGAGATAGATGAATTCAAATTTGGCAAGCAAAAGAATTATAGAGGCATACGCGTAGAGGGAAAATGGGTGTTTGGTGGGATTGAAAGAGGATCCAACAAATCCTTTTTCAAGGTTGTTGAGAACCGCGGTAAAGACATCCTCCTGGCAATAATTAAAGAATTCGTGCAGCCAGGGACCACAATCATTTCTGATTGTTGGAGGTCTTATCACTGTTTAGAGGAGGAAGGGTTTCACCACCTGACGGTGAACCATTCAATTAAGTTCAAACATTCTGAAACGGGCGCGCACATCAACACCATAGAGGGTACCTGGTGTGCAATTAAACGATCTCTGCCCACGAGAACCTGTCATGGGGAGGAGCAGTTCAACTCATATTTATTTGAATATATGTGGCGACGCTCGTGTGGTTGTAAAGATCAAATGAGAGAATTTCTAAATGTTATAAAAATTGTTTATCCTCCCCAAATACGAGATTCTGATGCATAAAGAGTGAGTTTAAATTTAAAAAAAAAGTATTAAAATTCATTGATTTATGTTTTTTTTTATTTATTTTGTTAACCAACTTAACTTCGTTTCTTATCATACTTATACTTATAGTATAGGGTTGGGGATAGGTTAAGGGATAGATTTAGGGAGTTCAGTTTAGGGTCAATAGCCTTCAAACCCCTTGTGCATGATTTCCTCATCAACACCAGTAACAGAAACATTGCAAATCCCATCTACATGCATAGGAGCCAAAATGATCAATAAATTGATCGTGGGCCCTTAAGATATAGAAGAAGAAGAGGTTAGGTTTATTAGTGTCAATACCGAGTTTAGTGATATGGTCACAATTGTCAAGTGATCTGCAAAAGGGTTATAAACAAATATAAAAAATGCTCAACATTGAGCTTTTTGCTTGATGTCAGTGGATCATTCAGCTTAAAATAATGGCTAACACATTGACTTATATTAAGCTGATTATCCTGAGAAGTATCCTGATTAAGTGTTCTAAAACTAAAAGATACTTTTGTTTAACTTACAGAAACCCTGAAACTTTTTTCTCTTAATTTAATCCTAAAATTTTTGAGAATTTAGACTGTAATGCTTTTAATAAGACAAGTGACATATGAGTCATATGCCAAAAGCTATTATAGATTTAACAAAGTTTCCACCAACAGTTTGTCTGTAAAAAAATAACATATCATGGAGCTGTTACTTAAACAACTTGCTAGATTCATTCAACACTCTGTGAAACCATTTTGCAATGGTTCTAAAACACTGGGAATGCATACAAAATTGACCCTAGGCTATTATACTTTAAGAGATTTTTCTCAAAAAATATAACTCCATTCATTTGTTTTCTTCATGTCACTTTGTCTAACATCAATCTGTAGGTGTTAAGTATTTCGGTATAAAACCAAATGTTTTTGTTATTTTACATGTTGCTTAACTTTAAAACAAAAAATTACTTCTTTATTCATGTCAAATATACTTCATGTTGATGTCATAGTTAGGCAAACCATCATTGATATCTCTTTGTCTTCTTCGATATACCATCTTTGCTAACTATATATGCTATATTTTCTATCCTAAATATTTTTTCAATTACTTGTAAGTGTATTTTGTATAATTGATATCTAATTATTTCATATTTAAAATTTAATACCTACATCAACCATCTCTGAAATCTCCACAGTCATTTGATCAACACCTTTGCCAGCAAACAAAATAAAGCATTTCCACGCAGCCCATCATGAGTTCTGACCCAAAAGACAGTTGCTCATATTACTTGAACCTAGGGGGCTTCCTAACTGAGTCCCTTATCAGCCCCATCTGGTATCTGGACATGTTCGGTTTCACATCAAACGTCAGATTCAGAGACGGTGATGGTTCCTGCCTCAAGATGTTCTTGAACTTATCATTCATGAACTGGTCAAAGCTTGAGTCATCTGGGAGCTTCACCTTGCGTCTTGCAATTACTATCCTAGATATCCAGGGCAAGGCACAGGACCGTTTAGTGGGAGAGAAGATCTACAAATATGATGGGAATAAAAAGGATATTGACGAATGGTGGAAAGATCTTTTTACTGTGAGATTAAAGCCAAAAGAAATGAAAGACCATGGGTTTTCGGCCGCAGACTTTCACACTTTGGTAATCAAATTCGATGCAGCAATAATATATTAATTTTTTTTTTCTCTTATTGTTTTAGTGACATAATTAGTCACCAAAGAATGGTAACTGATCTTTAAGCATGTGTTTTCAAGAACATTCCATTATAAATTATAATGATTTAAAAATTATTGAGTGAATTTTGTCCATCATTTTTTTCCATACTTTTAATGAGCCTATCTAAATGATCACTATTTAAGTCATAATTGTCACTAATGAATGATTTCTAAGCCGGAGAAATACTTTAGATGTCTTGAGTTTAAATTGTTCTAATTGTAAAATGTTGTTTTTGTTAAGAATAATTTTTATTCATGTGCTGAAAATGAATCTGTGCAGTGTAATCAAAAAAACATTTTCCATTTATTTGGATCAATAAATAATCTTAACAATTAAGTTGAGTGTTGTTTGTTTTCATGTTTTTGACAGGACGATTCCTTTTAGCCAGAGAGCGGAATTATGGTTTGCCTACAGTTCAATCTGTAAAATTTATCTGATCCTACATTGACTGAGGATCAACAGCCTCTGATAACTTTAGTACACAGTTCATGCTTCTCCGTCGGAGTCAGTTAGCAAGTAGATGGTCTTGTAACATTCTGACTAATAATTTTCTGAATTTTCAATACATATATTTTACCTTTAATTAACTAAATTATCTTTTTTTTTTAAATTTCAATTCAGTGGGTAAAAGATTTTTTAGCCATTGGTATTTTAATTAAAGTTTTTCATCACATTTATTGCAATATTGAATGTTTTGTATTAAAAACAATAGAATTTATACTTAGAAATGAAACAAAATATATTATGGTTCTTTTTGCCTAATGTAATAAAATCAATGTCAAGATGTTTAAGAAATAAAGTTTTTATTAAAATTCTGGTATGAAATTTGTTTTTTGTCACACCAGATAAATCAAATTGCAATTAAGTCTCTCTGTTTCCAATGTGCTTAGCTTTTTATTTTTTTAAAACTCTAAAAACAAATGTGCAACTGAATTTTTATTTTCAATTAAATTGAACATTTTATAGTTTTTACAATTTGCAATATGATTTTTTAAAAAAAGATATCACAGATAAATATTTAAAATAATTTTACAAGCTTTATGAAATAAAATGGTCTCTCATCAGGCAAGAAAAATGCTTTATATAAATTATAATCAGGTCTATAGATACAGTTTAATGACTATTCGGTCGATGTATTACAAATTTCAACTGGGACGGATTCTCAACAAACATAAATAGTTGCAACTCACACAAAAACAAGCAAAATTACCATTTTTTAAAACCATTAAGTGTAAATGAATGCTGCATACATTTAGAATAATCACATCTAAGACCAAATATGGTTATTATTTCCCAAAAGTGTATCAAAGGTCAACAAAGGTCAGGGTTGTTAATATTGCAATATTGTATTGGTATTGGTAGTATTGCCAATACTTTTTTAAGTATTGGGACGATATTGCAATACTTCTTGAAAATTGGTATTGCCAATAATTATTTTTGATATTGGTATTGATTTTTAACCAATACTAAAAGCAATATTCAATAAATTCTCTACAACATTGGTTGTGAATAAAGCTGAATATAATACATTTTTCTTTGGTGTCGCCATCTTGCGAGTGACATTGCCAAACAATTTGTGAATGAGACTGATCAATGAAATGAATGATAATAGAAATCAAATCAAGAGACGCGTTTCACAATCACTGTTGGTTGCTCCTACTGATGATCAGAAAGCAACGTCGGCTGCTGCTGATGGTACAGATAATCAGCCAGACTTCTTCGCTGGATTGTCAGCCAGACGACATCGTGTGAATGATTCACCTGATGTGAATCAAGAAATTAATAATTACTTGGCAGACACTTCAGACAGTATTGCATCATTGGATGCCTATCCACATATCCGTAAAATATACATAGACCTGAATACAGGACTTCCTTCAAGCGCTGCTGTTGAAAGGTTGTTTTCATTAGGAGGACGAGTATTTTCCCCTCTTCGTTCACGACTGAGCAGTGCGCATTTTGAAATGGTTACTTTTCTTCGCCTGGCTAAGTGGTAACGGCCAAATAGGTGGCGTTACCCTGTGAACTCTACTAAAATTCATCGTTCATCGTTAGTTTTCCAGATGTGATGCAATCCACTGACTCGGTCTGACTGTTTTTACTATAGTATGATGTTTAATCACGACTGAGCAGTGCGCATTTTGAAATGGTTACTTTTCTTCGCCTGGCTAAGTGGTAACGGCCAAATAGGTGGCGTTACCCTGTGAACTCTACTAAAATTCATCGTTCATCGTTAGTTTTCCAGATGTGATGCAATCCACTGACTCTGTCTGACTGTTTTTACTATAGTATGATGTTTAATCGTTTATGTATCATTTGCTTTTCTATGACAGTCATTTGCTTCATTCATCCATTCATTCATCCATTCATTCATTCACAATATGTGTACTGTATACACATTAAAAATGTTGTTGCTTAAGGACGTTAAGGTATGCCGACTTATTTAATATGTTGTCAAAGACTTTTGAATGCTTTGAGAAAAACTAATGAAGCAAGTGTTAACTATTGAACAACATTTGGTTAAAAATACATTGTCTAAATTAGCCAAAAATGTTGTTATCGTTTATTGATGTAAGTGATATAGAGCGATGAATTACGTATTTGCGTTTTATTCGTCGAATGACCCAAATATTGGTATTGGTAAGGCAATAATAAATAAATATTGGTATTGGTATTGCAATACTGGTTTTAAAATTGTATTGGTATTGGTATTGCCAATAGATTTTACAGGCAGTATTGGTATTGGTATTGCCAATAATTTTTTTAGTATTGTTAACAACCCTGACAAAGGTGAGGGAAAACATTTCTTTTTTAATAACCTTAGTGGACTGGGCTGTCTGTCTGTGGAGGCTTTGTAAGTAAAGTGATGTGACTGCCCCACCAATATGGCGCCAAAAAAATAACTTAATTTTAAAGAAAAATATTTTTGATTCAAGTATTTGTAATGTTAAAAAAGTATACAATTGATGAATTTAGCTCTGTACAAAATAAAATAATGTACATTTTTACATTCATAAAGTAAAGTTCTTTTGAAATGGAATTACTGGTAGTTGATAATATATAATATAAAAAAAAAGAATATATCACAATCTTTTTCATCACTAAATATCACAACAATGCAATCTTTACATATAAAGCATTAAGATTTTGTTAAATGTAAATGTACCATATGTGCCAAGAAAAGATAGCAAGATGGAACAACAGCTAAATAAGCATACATTTATAAATAGATCAAATTTTAATCCATCTCTTTTATTGCTATTTTTGTAGATCACCTAAAGTGCATTTTTATCCCAAGTTTTGATTAAGTTACTTTAGGTTAGTGATAGCATCTGATATTGGGGGGAAAAATGAGGCACAGGGATGGGTTTGTGGTGAGGGGATCTAATCATGTTTCCTAAAACTAAAGCATAAATGAAATTAATTTATATTATTTGCAACAGGAATCCCAAAACAAAAATTATGAGTAAAATAAAAAAAAAATTCAATTCCAAGGTCACTTTAAATTTGATATATTAAAATGTAAGCAGTACCACTGTACATCCTGGAATGGAATATTTGTTTTAATGTAAATTTTGGTCATTTTAAAGTTGTTTATATGATATAATGTCTTTTTCCAGTTATATACCGGTATATATATAATTTTGTTTTAATTTTAAATGAAATCTTTTAAAGATTTTTTTTTTTTTAAAAATGTATTAAAAATCAAGTTTCAATGAATGTGATTCTTCGTAAAATATTTTTTTATGACTTTGAATTCAAATTATTTAATACTATTAAGTTCATTAATTTTCTTTGACCTGGAAGTTCCAAAGTTTGGCTGGGGTAATGGGGAAGATTGGGTGTTGTGCTTTCAACTGAGCTACCGGTATTAAGAAAAACAAATGATGCAGCAAAAACATTTAACTAGGTTAGAAGTAAAAACTAGCTAAGAAATTTTGTGTGGCCCTGGCTTGATCAGGACAAAGAGAAGAAACCAAGATGGCTACTTGAATGTACAAAGCCAACATAAGAAATAGGTAATAATACTGAAAGGTTGAAAGCAAATTTTGCACTCAGGTTTGAAAGAGTGAAGTCTTAAAGGGGGCATCTATAAATTATTATTTTTGTTGATTTATTTTAACACCCCCCACCCCCAAACTTTATAAATTGTCACACAAATTTAGATTCCCTTATCACAAAATTTAATATGTGTCCCCTAATTCTGTGATTTTATTTATGAATGAATGATCCATAAGTGCATTGTGATGTTGGCACCTTAAAAACTTAGTCTAATTCCCTCAGTTGTATAGCTTGCATATAAAGCATCAAGAAGGTTGGAAACTGTTAAATGTTCTTGCTAGACTTCGTAAGGTAATAGTAATTGGAGACATCCTCATATTATTTAATTATTATTATTATATGATTTTCATCAATACCGGTAGTTAAAAATTATTAACATTTACTTAATATTCACATAGATAAAAGTAACGTCCTCTTATGCTAATGGATATATAATCCATTGGTTTAACCAATCCAGTTCCAGCATACATAAAAAGGCCTACTAGCTCCTGGTGCTACTTGCTCCTTGTGCTACTTGCTCCTGGTGCTTTGTCGTGTCTCTGGTTTGAAAGTATCATCAATGAATTTTTCGTAGCTAATCTGCCCAGTCAGGTCACGGTCAAACTCATTCATAATGTGATACACCTCGTCTTCGTCAATGAGAACATTGGCTAATTTCAAAACAGATCGAAATTCTGGGAGAGAGAGGTACCCAGTTCCAGAGGCATCCATCTTGCGGAAGGATCGGAGCAAGTTTTTCCAGTCCCCAGAAAGCTGTTGAAGAAATGAGTTGACAAAATTTAATATTTTGTAGATTAACAAACGGTCAAAATAAAGACCAGATCAGAGACACTACAAAGGATTGACTGCCAGTCTTCTGTATAACTGATGCAATGCCAACCTTCTCTATAACTGAT